TACTTCTGGACAGCAGCCCAAACAGCTTCTGAAAATCTGGGCAGCAGGTTTAACGGAATCCTGGGAAGGTTGGGCCGCCACTAGGCACTTCAGGATGCCTTGGATAGTCATAAACAGCTCTCTGGGATCACCTGGCAGCAATTCCCTCTTGCTGGAATCACGGGCCAGCAAAAGAGAGCATTTCCAAATTGAAATTTCTTGATTTGGAAATAAACTAGAGCAGGTTACGGGATGAGGGAGTTAACTGAGGAGAGAGGGAATCCATTTCAGTTTCAGATTTTTGAAATCTGAAATTAAAACTGATGAAATATGGAATTAACTTTGGGGGAGGAGGCATTTAAGAGGTATTTAAGTGTGGTGGTGACTGGCAATTAGAGAGAGAAACAATGAGGGTGAGGTGGCCGGCCATAGGGTGTAACAACCGGTTCATCCGGCCGGTTCAACCAAACCGGCCGGCCCACCCTTTAATACCGCGAACAGAAGGGTTCGCGGAACAGAAGCAGTTCGCGAAACAGAGAGGGGCGGGCGACGGGCGTTCGTGCGGGGAGAGCAAGGTGAGTTTCGTTTTCTAATTTAGCACACGATTGTTTTTAATGATAGGAAATAATGATTCCTTTTTATTCTTATCGTTATCAAAGTGTTATTTTGGGAGAGATTGGAAGAACGAGAGAAACGGACGATAAGGATTAAGGGAAAGGTTTGTTGATTTCCTTTTTGGAATTTCTCGTATAAATTTTCTTCCTTTACTTCATTCAAAGTGAATAATATGTTTCTTGAAGGATAGGGGAAGAGATTGTAGCGAAGGAAAAAGGAAATTGGAAGAGAAGGGATTTTGAGAGTTTGAGAAATTCTCATTCGTAAGTGAAATTCTTTTTATATAAGTTTATTAGGGGATTATAAATTTAAGTTTTACATGAAAGTTATTATTTGAATTTTAGGGTTTTAGAAAGTGAAAGATCAAGTTGTATGTGTTGATCCCGCAAGGATTCAACAAGAAGAGAAATTGATTCAAGAGTAGATCAAGCATCGAAGACCTGAAGAGTTCAAAGTGGGTAAATTATATTATTTTATGTTTTATTCATGATTTCAATTTTCTAAATAATTGATTAAAATATTATATTATAAAATGTTGAAGACAAATCCTTATGATTTTATAGTCTTTAAGAAAGAATTCATCTTATGATAAAACTTATGAGAAAAGAAAAGAAATAATTATAAGGATATATGTGATATATGTTATATGCAATGGTATTTATAAGGATGAAAATGAGAAAAGAAAGAAAGAAAATAAAGGAAAAGGGTATTGAAAAATA